GTTGACGCCGACCGATTCCGATTCCGAGTGCGATTCTGCTGGAGACGTCATCTGACGAGGTATTATTTTTACTACCATATACGCACACACACACACACACATACACAAATTGCATGCGTGTGGGGTTTATATACAAAATTCGGGAAAAAGCGGTGAGTCTTCTTCTCCCGTCAGACCGTAAAGGTTTGTCAAAATGAAGTCCTATTCTGAGTCTGTCATGGCCTGACGATCGGTAGCTGAGCATTTTTCCTCCGGAATCGGACGAGAGCGTCAACAAGAATGCTCCGGCAGAGTGAGTCGACTGTTGGTTGTCTTTTGGTGGCATCCAGCCCCGAGGCTTTTCCTCATCCCAATTGACACTCTAAACGGAATTGCATCTCAACAATTGTACGCCAAGCGCTGCCTCAAAAAGCCGGACATGCTCTTCGCCACTTGATGAAAATCCTGATTTTCGAGCACCTTCAGAGACCTGTTCAAGAATGATGTCGCCATGCCAAACGCCAGAGTCCTCGAGGGTCTTCTTGAAATCTGCGAGTGACGTGTATGCCGATTAGACGTGTGGCAGCGACCCTGTCGCTAGGCTCTTCTGATACCATTTGCCAAAGGCTGCCTTGGCGTCTCGTCAATCTGGAAGAGGTCACAACTGGTGCATGCGTGCCTGGGATCGGCAAGCACGAGTCCCGACAAATCTAGTCACGTCCGCAACTGTCGAACCAACTTTATGCTTAAAGTCTGATTGATATGATTGGTTTTCGAGGTTGTCAAGTGATCTTTTGCCAGAATTTGTGTCGTCAAGGCCATTTACTGGGTCCAAATGAAATAAGAGTAGTTTGCAAAGCCAACAGCAGAAGGACTGGCACACCAACCCGATGTTAGTGCCTTTTTGTCCGGTACCACCAGACTGGCCACTTCGGCCCAAACCGTCTCTCGACAGATGCTCTGTCCGTTTCTGTCCCGGTCCGAGTTGAATCCGATTCCCGCCGATTGGTTTGGCCACACTTTTGACGGTGTCAATCGGAGCCGGTGCCACGAGACCAACTGCCGAGGAAGGTTGCATCATTTGACGATTCTGTCGGTCTCTATGTTAGGCCTTTGTGCCTGTTTTTGCGTGTGTGTGTGTGTGTGTGTGTGCGTCTGCGCTACATGGACTCTTTTGGAAGAAGGAGATGTCTGCTCCCAAGTTGCGGTTTTTGAGTGAGGACCGCCCAATCCTTCCTTCTAGACAATTCATTCTCCTTTTCTATTTTCTCCTCCTCCCCTCCTTTTTAGCAGTAGACATTCGCAGACGGCAACGGCCAAACTTTTGGTGGATCTTG